GGAGTCGCAGACAACTTGACAGCATATAACGACCACAACAACAATATTTAGTTATTTTATATTAATAAGTTATAAAGACTTACTTATTTTTTGTTGTCGTTATCTGCTATCGAGTCATCTGCAACTCTGTGTACAGCAGCTCTGAATCCTGCCTGCCCTGAGCCAGTCTCACTGACTCTGACACACCAATCCCATTGCCCCAGTTACTTTTACATATAATGTTTTCCATGGAAGTTTTTCTAGAGTCAGAGGGAATGTCTCTCAGCCACCCAGCATTTTAAACATTTTAAACCAAATGCCTCAATCAAATATTTTGGCAAAGTAAGATTTCTTTCTTTTTTTTTTTAATAAAAAGAGATCATTTGGTTTAGTGGCTGCTATAGGCTGCCATTTTTATAACCAGACTTCAGTTGTCTCTTGGGAAGGGACCATATCATTTTCATATTTACATATGAAACAGCTGACACCTAACACAGGACAGAATGTCTGGTACGTACAGGACACTTTGAACTCAACAAAAATTCAAGCCTACAATTTCATTTTACTTTAATATCTCACTGCACTAAAATCATATCCTTAAAGAGTCCTCACGGTATGGTTTAAAGCTCGGATGCTAACCCAAAGTTTGGCAGTTTGAACCCCACTCAGTGTCTGTGCAGAAAAAAGGCCAGGCAATCAGTTTCCCTAAAGATGGTGGCTTAGAAAACCCGAAGGAGCAATTCTGCTCTGTCACCAGAGGTCCTTTTAACTTGAGGTTGACCCTCCAGCACCAAACAGCAACAGCAACACGGTATTTGGGTAACAGAGATGGAGAGTTGTGTTTAGAGAACTGAAGACGTTGCTGTAGAGACAGCCCACAGTGGGTCCGCGTCAGCTTTCAGCGGTTGATGGCAGTAGAGGCGGCCTTTTACCTTCACGTCTCACTAAATTACTTCCGCCCGGCATTGTGTAACTCTCAAGGAAAAATGGAAGTATCAACAAATTGCCCTTTCCAAAGGATATCATTTCTGAAAGAACTTTTTAAAAAAGTCACAGAATGCTTTTTTATAAAACCACAATGGGGTACCATCTCACTTCAGTGACAGTGGCAAAGTTTAACAGTTATAGGTGTTGGAGAGGATGTGGCGAGAAAGGAACTCATGAATTGATGGTGGGATTGTAAAATGGTGCAACCAATCTGGAAGGCAGTTTGATGTTTCCTCAAAAAGCTGAACATAGAAATTCCATATGACCCAGCTATTCCACTGCCTGGAATACACCCTGAGAATATGAGAACTGAGGCACAAACGGAGATTTGTACACCAATGTTCATAGCAGCATTATTCACCATCACAAGAACATGGAAACAGTCCAGATGTCCAACCACAAATGAATGAATTGAGAAATTATGATACATTTACACAGTGGAATACTACGCAGCACGCAGGAGCAATAACTTTGTAAATTATTACCTAACTTAGCAGGGACTGGAGAGAATTATGCTGAATGAACAAACTCAGTCCCTCAAGGATAAATATTGTATAAACTCACTATTGTAGAATGAGTATAAGGATCCAGGAGGGGTGGGAGAGGGTGGAAGCAGAGGGATGTGGATGTGCAGGGGGGGAGAAGGATTAATCATGGAGTTGTACAATTTGAGGGGAGTGGCGAGGGAAATGGAAAGAATTTGTTCTAATTTGGTTTTTAGTTTTGTAAATAAACTAGTAGGGGAGCAAAATGCGAAAAAAAAAATCTTAATATCTCAGACACTGCCTCCCCATGTCGTTTTCCACCCAGCTCATTGTCCCAGTCTCCATTGAGATGTCTCTTCTCTAGTACAGCTTGTCTCACCACCTAATACAGCCTGACTCTGGGTTTCATATTTCTGGTGCTGCTCTCTGTGAAATCGACTGTGTGTGTCTGAGCTCCTGCAGGGCGGGGACAATGACCTGGCCATCTTTGTCCAAACGCCACACACAGTGTCTGGAATAGAGTGACAGGTTGGAAGAATCAGTCCTGGTACTCACAAAGCAGAGCTCCGGTGGTCTAACAGGTGAAGAGTTGTACTGCCAAGCCAAAGGCAGACAGTTCAAATCCACCAGCTGCTCCACAGGAGAAAGATGGGCAGTTTCTTCCCTTGTGAGTTAGAGCCTCTGAAATCCATTAGAGGATCAGCCAGGAATTGGTTCCAGCTCGTCAGTATGTAACACTGGCAACTTGGAGAGGCTCAAACTCACTGCCTCACAACATTCATAGGGCTTTCTGAGGCTGTAAATTATCATGTGAAGAGACTGCCCGTCTTCCTGCCAAGAAGCAGTTGGTGGAATTGAACCATTGGAGATGGACAGCCGAGTGATTAGCACTGCATGACAACACTGATAACACCGAAAGGTCTTATAAAATGTTGAGGCCACTAGCCTGCCAACAAACATATCTATTTTTTTAACACGTTGCCACAAATGACAACAAATGTGTTTCTAAGCACGGTCGTCAATTTAAAAAGTGTGCGGCAACGTGTTAATAAGAATGTATTCATAATTATTACGAAGCTGTGTCCTCTCTTTGGCGAAGGAGAATTCTGGCTGCACTTTTGTGTCTTAAATGCCGTACCTAGTGTCTGGAATAGAACAACTGAGTAAAGGAATCAGCCTTGATAACTTACAAAAAAAGCTTCATATTCTCTTCTTTGGGTACATTGCTAGCAGAGGCTGTTTCTTGGAGAGGAACATCATACTTGGAAAAGTGGAGGGTCAGGAAGAGGGAGGAAGACCCTCAAGGAGATGGATTGACACAGCGATTGCAGCGATGGGCTCAAGTGTGTCAGAGATTAAAAGGATGGCACAGGATGGGAGAGAGATGTGTTGTTTGAAAGGTCACTATGAGTCATACTCAACAACTTCTAACAACAACAAATTATCAAACAGCAGATGAACTATTTGCTGATAACTCAAGCATTATATAGATTTCTTGCAAGAAAACAATTAAAAAAATCCACTAGCTATGTGAGCAAAGAACATGATTAAGCAGTTCACAGATGAGTTCTAAATGGCCAATAAATGTAGAATAAAAAATCCTACAACAATAACAATTTTGTAAATTGTACAAAAGCAGATATTGTGCAGATTAGCACGGTGTCCTTAATAAAACCCAAAACCTCAGCTAAAGGGACCATCTCATATATTGAAATATATGAAAACTGGTAAAACCTTCAGGCTTACACATGCGTATTGTTGTTGGTAAGTGCTGTCCAGTCGCTTGTGACTGATAATGACCCTTTGTACAAAAGCCCTGAAACCTGAAATTGTGCCGACCTTATTGTCTCTGACACATCTACCCTCATTACCTCTGTCACTGAATCAATCCATCTCATCAAGGATCTTCCTCTCCTGTCCTGTCCCTCCACCCTTCCAAGCATGATATCCCTTTCCAAGGGCTAGTCCCTCCTTGCAGCATACCCAACGAGTGTCAAAGTCTCCGAATTCTTGCCTTTAAGGAGCATCCTGGTTTCACCCTCTCCAGGGAAAACCTGTTTGTTCTCTTGGAAGTCCTTGGTATATTCAGTAATCTTCTCCAGGAACACAGCTCAAAGGCATCAATTCTCTTTCTATCATCCCTAGTCATTGTCCAGCTTTCTGACACATAGCAAGTAACTGAAAAGACTATGGCCTGCATCAGACACACCTTAGTCTCCACAATGATGTTATTGCTTTTCAGTACTCTGAAGAAGTCACTGACAGCAGACTTTCAATTCTAAAAATCTAACCTGAAGGAATGGAGATGTGATAGAGTTTTTATTTTATTTATTTAATTTAGTTATCTCATGTGTTTGTGTCTTAAAAGTACCTTGATGTCTAACAATAAAAGAAATATTTGTCAGTATAATGAATTACTGTTTTTAGAAGCTTGAGAAAAAGCTCACACTGCAATATTAAGGGAGAAAAAGTGTCATGTGAAACGGAATATAGTTAGATTTCATATATACAAAATAAACAAAAAATTAATTAGAATATACCAAATAGTAAAATGAGACTGCCTCCTGGTTTGCAGATGTCAAATATTGTTTCCTTAGTTTTTGTTATTTTTCAGGGTTTTTGGTTTTTTATTTGTTCTGTTGGGAGGCTTTGGAGGTTTGTCATTTTGTTTTACAATGAGCAAAAAAGTCACATGCAAAGTTTTATAAAAGATCTCCCTTTGACAGTTCACCATTTCAGAGCTTATTCTTTTAAGAAGCGGGTCGTGGGTCTATCCTGCGAGGACC